ACATTGGGGAAGAGGTTTTGCTTTTGTTTCCACAGGAGAAGAAAAGTTACAGATACCATCAAGATTGATAAAAATTAGATTCGAACAAGACAGACCTCTTGATTAGGAGAGGCGAAAGTTCATCAAACTACATGGCCATCCGATCTAAAATAACTTATAAGACTAACAAATATCTTTCATTTGCTCAGACATAACCTGCCAAAAAGGGAAACGTCCCAAAGTTAGAGTTGGGGCAGGGTTTTTTGGTTTTTTGTTTGTTTGTTCATTCATTTGTTTTTTGTCTTTCCAGGAGAATAAAAGCAACCAACTGAAGACTCTGAAGACCACTGGACAAATAAGACATCTGAAGAAGAGGACAAAACATCCAGAGAAAATGCAAGAAAAAGAGCAAATTCGCTTAATGGTATAATACATTTCCAACAGAAAAAAATTCATAAATCTTCTCCAATGTTTGTTTCTGCTGTTCTCTAAAAATACATAAGGGCAAATGATCTTTTTGTAGTCCCAACTGAATTAAAATTTAAAGCTAGCTTTGGGGTTGGAGCATGGCTCTCTCTTTCTCTAAACCTAAGCATGCTTGTTAAAGGAAAATCCAAAGTCTGCCTCATGTCAGAAGAGTCACCTAGTATGGGACAGAAGAAAACCAAAATTAAGGGACTATTATATTGCACTAATCTCATATTATTTTGGTTTTATTTCAACTTTTTAAAACTTTTTTTAAGGTTCAAATATCTCAAAATTTATAATATATATATACATATATATATATATATATATATATATATATATATTAAACTTTCTGTCATGATATTAATGATCATATAAGAGTACTAACTAATTCTAGAAATAAGCTTCATGTAGTTTCCTGTACATGATTTTGGGCTTGAGTCTGAAGCAGGTAACAGGGAATTAAGGCTTGTGTACCCCAGATGTATTTAATAGATTATGGTCCTATAACATCTCCGAGATCTGCTGCATATGGCATTTAAAATGTTTTAAGTTTTCTGCAGTGAACTGTGACCATTCCTAACAGCAACCTTTGAAGTCTCCAAAAGGATGATGGGGCCCCATGAATGATGACTCCACCTAGAATGTGGTAATGCCACTAAGCTAACAAAAACCATCCAAATATCACCTTTGGACTACAAACTGCTCAGGACAACTTCAAAGTGGTTTGCTAAAATGGTCCAGTCTGGTAGACTACTCCAGTCAGGATTTCAGATAAGCCCTGTACTTCCCCATCACACTGAGACTGGACAAAAGCTAGCCCTCCCAGGACTTGATCTTTATCTCGAAAAATTTTCAGGGTCCCCTAATGACTACAAGTGGCACCCATATGTGGGACACCCACATCCACATAAGACCTGAGAAAGCTTAAAATAGCTTCTAAACACACAAAAACGGAGCCAAACTTGGCTTCCTACTCTCGTGTCTCCTATCCCCGGCTGCAGTTCAGAGAAGCATTTCCCAGTTGCTGCCTGCAGGCTTTAGCTGCCAGCGTGCTACATGGCAGGTTTGGGGTTTTGCTCATGTAGACAAAAAAGGTTACAAATCCTTAGTAAAGACAGATCCACATGAAACAAACTTCTAAACGGGTTATAATGTGCTTAACAATATACAAAGGCTTGGAAGAGAAAGAGAAAGAGTAGAGACAGTCATAGATTAAAATCTTTAAGAAAGGAATAGATTAAAAAATGTATGATAAGCCATGTAAAGATAGAAAATATACAGAGACTGTGAATTCTGTATGTTACTGTGTTGTCTTTAGATTCGATTGCTAATAAGGAAATGACAGCTCTGGTGATATTTTATCTTTTTTTTTTTTTTTAAATTCAGAGCTGAGGACCAAACCCAGAGCCTTGCAAGCACTCTACCACTGAGCTAAATCCCCAACCCCGTGATATTTTATTTGTATTGAAATGTGTTTTTATTTGTATGTTAATGAATAAAGTTGCCTGGGGGTCAGAGCTAATAGCAAGCTATAGCAGAAGCTGGGCAGTGGTGGTGCATGCCTTTAATCTCAGCACTTGGGAGGCAGAGCCAGGCGTATCTCTGTGTGTTCAAGGATACAGCCAGCATGGAGACACACGCCTTTAATCTCAATACCAACCATGGAAGACCTGGAGGTCTGTACAGACAGGCAGTGATGAGGAGGTCATGTGGTTGGGTTTACAACCAATAAGGCAGAACAGAAAGTCAATAAAAGGACAGACACACAGGAAGTAGGCCTCTTGCTGAGGGGAAGAACAGCAGCAGCAGTGAAGGGTAAGAAAGGGATTTTAGCTCTTAGCTATTGCTCTGACCTCTTGGGCTTTTAACTCTGCAATTGGCTCTGTGTTTCTTATTTAATAAGACTGTTCATCTACAGACAGCTGCTAAGATACATTGGGTTATGAAAACTGCTAAATTAAATCAACCTACGTATTTAAAAAATGTTTTGACGTCAAAATGGAAGTCAAAAGACATGTTACTTTGGGGAAGAGGTTATGCTTTCATTTCCATAGGAAATGAGAGGCTGTAAATTCATTCTAGGTTGATATGATCAGGTTTGATCAAGGAAGACCTCCCCCCCAAATCCTGGCTACAAACATAAAGAAATAAACCTAGAAAAACTACAAAACACGTAATGTATATTTTATCTGCTCAAACATAAAACTGACTTGTACACCACATATTCCATACCTATAATGTATGTTACCTTTAAAAGTTTATGTATTTTTCTGAACAAGGGGCCAAACACCAATAAAAACAGATGGCTCAGGTGATCCAACATTTCAGAATGCCTCTGTTAACAGTTTGTGAGTTCTGCATCCAGAAGAGCTTCAAGGCTGCTGGCTGAGATGATCCAGTCTCACAGACTACTCCAGCCAAGACTTAACCATTATCCTGATGCCAGCACCTCCAGATAACAGGAAGCAGTCTTGAAAAAACAACGTCCACATTTCCAAAAGATAAATTATGGATGTTTGTTATCATTTAAGGGGGGTTGGTTACAAGTTGTTATTGTCATAGTAAAAAAAGAAAAAAAGGCTAAACAAAAGAGTTAAATTCAAAGATCTCTTTCTAAAGGAAAAAGAGGGGAATATGATATAGAAATAATGAGATAAAAGGGTAGATTATTGAATCTACTTTAATAAAAAAAAAAAACAACTATTAATCTCAAAATATTTTACATTGGTATGGGTTTTGGTTTATTGATGTAAATTTAAAGTTAATTTTGTTAAACTGTATGTATGTTTCTACTCTTCTTTAGGGTATTGTGTTTATACAGCTCATTTAAAAATGTAATATATAATTAAGAAATACAAATTAATAGTCACCTATAATAGTCAAACTTATAGTCATGTTAGGTATGTTTTCAAGGTCATACACAGATGTATTTAGATGAATAGGTCTTCAAACACTTCAAAGACCTACAGAATATGTCATTTTAAATGTTTTAATAACATAAGACTTTTCTTGACTGTGAGACATGTCTGCTCCTGGCAGCACCAATTTACTTCAGAAAAGAAAATGGGCATTGAAGAAACTCTATTTAGAGTTTGCCTTCTTTATGGCAAAAGCTAGCCATCTGGGAAAAGAAACTGCCCTGGCCTCAATTGCTGACAGTATACTGTCCAAACTGGACCAGCAGGATGCAAAAAAAAAAAAAAAAAAAAAAAAAATCGACTGCCAAACTTTGCCAGACAAGGAAGGACAGTCTGTGAAAATTCCCTGCTTCTCAAAAATGCCTGTCAGATATACTAGGCCTGTAGGCCAAAAATGGATGCCCCAACATTACAGAAGAACCTTGGGTGACAGTTCAGACAGCCAGATATCCTGTTGTTAAGGTAACACTTCACCCTCTGGGGTCTTTGATGGAGTTGAAGACTAAATAATAGTCATAGTTAACATCTTCCTTAGTTATGATAAAAGGTAAATTGGGTATAAAACTTTAGAATTACAAAGATAAGATAAATAACATTTTCTCTAATTTTGCCAAATACAAATGGACTGGATATTGTAACTGTAATTCTTACATGATAACTGTTTGTGCTATAATTTTACTATGTTAAAGTTAAAACCTTTCTTTCTAATTAGACAAAAAGGGGCGCATGCTGTGGAACAATCTTTGTACACTGTAAATATGTATTGCTCTAATTGTTAATAAAAAGCTGATTGGCCAATAGCTAGGCAGGATTTTGGGGGCAGAGAGAATGCTAGGAAGAAGGGCAGGGTGAGAGGAGCCACCAGCCAGATAGAAAGGAAGCAGGACATGCAGGAGAGGTAAAAGCCATGGGCAGCAGGTGGATTAATAGAAATGGGTTAATTTAAGTTGTAAGAGCTGGCTAGAGACAAGCCTAACCTATCACCCAAGCATTTATAATTAATAATAATAAGTCTCTGCCAAGACACAGAGAAACTCTGCCAACACATTTGAGAGGAGTTCCCAAAGAGTTATCCACCCCCATGTTCAAGAAGCACTATTCACAACAGCAGATGAAAAGATACACACAATGTGATGTATTCCTACAACAGAATATTATCTAGATACAATAGGGAAACATATGCAAATGCTACAATATGGGTGAACCTTGGGGATACCACTAAGTGAAATTAGCCCATCACTAAAGACAAATACCGTATGACCTCACTTATATGCAGCATCAAATGTAGTCAAATCTTTAAAGGCAGAAAGTAGAATGAATGATGGCTACCAGGTGCTGAGGAAGGAGAGATGGGGAATTTACTTCGGGGTATGAGGTTTGTAAAATGAACATCAGTTCATTCTGGTGTCAGTTTTAAAATGCAAACATACTTCACATGACTAACTTACCTTAAAATGGTTACACTGGCAAATTTTATGCCATGTAATTTTATCACATTAAGAAAACACGTCAGAAAAACTGGCCATATTCCCTACAGCACTACTGGGTGCTAAAAGAATCTCTTAGAGGATATATGAAGCACAGATCAATATTAAAATATAAAAATATTTTATACCCAGAAAACCTTGTTACCTGCAACAAATCCAACCACCAGATCTTTTCCTGTAGAAGAACGTTGACCTTTGACCCATATTGCTTTAAGGCTATTAAAAGTGTAGAAATAGACAAAATTGGAGCAGCAGAGACTGGAAATAACTGGAAACCACCCTCGGTATGGTGCCAGACTATGGAAAAAACACAATAAGCAAAGTAAAGGTCATGGACAAAAGCCATAGGAAATTGCCGGAGAAGCTTGTCAAGGTTCGAATGTAAACCGATCCCCAATAGGCTCACATATCTGAATGCCTGGTGCCAATCCCTCTCCCTGGAACGTCTACAAGAGGCAGAGCCTTGCAAGAGGGACTAGTCACTGGGGACAGGCCTTGAGGTTTGACAGCCCAGTCCCACTTCCTGTGGAGGCAATGTGATCAGCTGGCATGCCTGCCCTATTGTGATGGACTATAAAACTGTCTTCACTTGTAAGTCAGAATAAACTCTCCTTCCCTTAACTTGGTTCTAGTTAGGCACTTGGTCACAGAATTGAGAAAAGTAACTAATATGAAGCCCAGGAAGTCTGGTCTACACAGACAGTCTCAAGGTTTGAGAAGAGCGCATCTGCAGGACCTTAAGAGGTTCTCTCCATGGGGGCTCAGAGCTGCAGGAAAGAGACATGGTCACACAGGAAGCAGCCAAATCACATGTCAGAAAGCATGTGGACAATGTGAGGCCAGAGAAAGATGGGGAGGGGAGAGCAAGAGAGAGAGAAAGAGGGGGGGAAAGGAAAGAGAAGGGAAAACAGAGAGAGAAGGAGAGGAGAGGAAAGGAGAGGGGAGGGGAGTGGAGGGCAGGGGAGAGGAAAAGAGAAGAGAAGAGAGGAAGAGAGGGGGGAGAGGAGAGAGAGGGAAGAAGGGAGAAAGAGGGAGGGAGAGGGAGAGAAGGAGTGGGAGAGGAGGGAAGGAGGGAGGGAAATGTTTCATCATGCTGTCCAGCCTGACCCTGAACTCCTGTCTTAAGCAATTCTTCCCCAGCCTCCTGTAGAGCAAGAACTACAGGCATGCACCATTGTGCTACCTAGGCACTCATTATTCTTACCAAGAATGAAAACCCAATCTAACCATGAGGCAAATGTAAAACAAGAATTAAAACTCACATCTTTAATCTCAGCACTACGGAGGCAGAGGTAGGTGGATCTCTGTGAGTTCAAGGTCAATATAGTAAGTTCCAGACCTGCCAGGGCTACACAGACTCTATCTCAAGGGGGAAAAAATTGAAAATGGAGGGGAAAATATATTATTTTAAAGTATCATTGGCATAGAGGTTAAAATGTTTTGATGCATGTAACTGATATTTAAATAACTGAAAAAACTGTGTGTGATATGCAAGTGTGTGATAGAAGCATTGGGAGGGCAAGTGTGAGCATAATTGGTAACAGAGTAGAAAAATGGTCAATAAAAATTTAAAGCTGTTCGAGGCCAGCCTGGTCTACAGAGTGAGTTCCAGGAAAGGCATGTAAAACTACACGGAGAAATCCTGTCTTTGAAAACAAAACAAAACAAAAACAAAAAAAGTAAATCGTACAGTGGTACTCTTTGTACCAATTTTAGTTTTGAAATTGTTTGCAACTCTGAAATTATTTCAAAATACAAATTCAAAGAAATTAAAAAAAATAATGCAATCTGTCTGGATGCAACTGATAGGAATGAACTGAGAGAGAGTATTTGTGTGTCTTGTGTGGTTTGTGCATGTCTTGTATGGTGTATATGTGTGCATCTTATGTGAGATGTGTGTGTGTGTATTGTGTACCCTAATAAAATTTGCCTGAAGATCAGAGAACAGAACAAGCCACTAGATTAAACACAGATGCCAGGCAGTGGTGGCACACACCTTTAATCCAAGCACTCAGGACAAAGCCACCCTGGACTACATGAGATTGACTCAGTCTAGGAGAGAAACACAGCCAGGCAAAAGACAAACATCTTTAATGCCAGCACTTGAGATCTCACACCTTTAATCCCAGTATGTGGGAAGTCACACGACTTCAATCCCAGCAATAGGAAGTAAGTAATATGGTGGGTGGAGAAAGGTATATAAGGCGTGAGGAAACAGGAACTAAAGCCTTTTCGGCTGAGGAAGCTCATTTGGCTAGGGGCCTATTGGCTGAGGCTTTTCAGGCTGAGGACTTGGTGAGGTAAGAGGTGGTGGCTATGGCTTGTTCCTTTGTCTCTCTGATCTTCAGGCAAATTTTATTAGGGTACACAATATAACACTGTGTGTGTGTGTGTGTGTGTGTGTGTGTGTGTGTGTGTGTGTGTGTAATGTGAATCGTATGTGCTGTGTGATGTGTGCTACTGGCATTTAAACTAGGCCCCATAAAGACTAGGCAAACATAGTGAGCTAAATCCTCCACTCCTAAGCAACAATACCGTTGTTTTGTTATACATTAAATTTCCTAAAAGGCTCCATAATCAAAAAATCAAATGCTGGGGGCTAGGGATGACTCAGCAGCTAAGGGCATTTGTTATTCTTGCAGAGGACCTGGGTTTGGTTCCCAGCATGCAAGCAAAACATTCATACACAGAAATAAATCTAAAAATAAGGATCAAATAACTAACAGATCTGTAAGGAATTACAAACAGATATGCCTCTATATGTCAGGCAATTACAAACTCTCAATACTATAAGCCTATAAGCAGGGACTTCTGAGTCCTGGCATGTGAGTCTCCTAAGAAGCCAGTCTAAGAGAGTTGTGAAATGGGTACTCACAGGCCTTCTTCCTTAATAATCTCCAGGAGCACTGCATGCGTAGTTTTTGACTTTCTTTTCTCATCAACTGTAAGAATGAAGAGAATCATTATTTCTAGCATCAGCCAAGTTTCACTAAAATGTCATAACTCCACTTGCACAAAATCTCACTTGCCTCAGATCCTCCAGTGTGTCTGGCCATGGCTTACTTCCCCAGAGTAAATTCCTTGGGTTTCATCTGTTATTTATATTATTTATATTTTTAATTTAAACCCTCATTCCACAGTAAAGCAGAAATGCTATTTCTGGGGTTATTATAGTGCTCTTCCTTCCTTCCTTTTTTTTTTTTTTTTTTTTGAGACAAGTTTTCTCTGTGTAGCCTTGGCTGTCCTGGAACTTACTTTGTAGACCAGACTGGCCTCGAACTCAGAGACCCACCTGCCCCTGCCTCCTGATTGCTGGGATTAAAGGCATGTGCCACCACCACCTGGCTCCAGTGCTCTTTCTTAAAATATTTACTTTATTTTAAATTATATGTATGTGTGCCTTTGTATTAGTGTGTGCACATGAGTGCAGGTGCCCTTGGAAGCCAGAAAAGGTTGTAGGATCTCCTGGAATTGGAGTCACTAGGAACTGAACTTGGGTCCTATGAAAGAGCAGTACATGTTCTTAAACACTAAGCCATTTCTCTAGCTCTACACAGTCTCCATCTGTCCTTCTTTCCCTTTTTCCTTCCCTCCCTTTCTACGTATGTGTGCCTCTGTGACTTTATGTGTACCACATGTACACAGGGAACCTTGGAGGACAGAGGGCATCAGAGCCCCTGGATCCTGGAGACACAGGCAACTATAAACCTCATAATGTGGGTGCTGGGAACCAAATTTGGATCCTCTGGAAAATCAGTAAATGCTCTTAGCTGTTGAGTCAGCTCTCCAGCGCCATATAGTGCTCTTTTTAAAACATGCATGTTCTCACTTTTATTCCCACACCTTATAAAACAGGAAATAGATTGCCTTCTCTTTTTTTTCCAAAAAGATTTACTGTGGATCTCTGTGAGTTTTAGGCCAGCCTGGTCTACAAAGTGAGTTCCAGGAAAGGCACAAAGCTACACAGAGAAACCCTATCTTGAAAAACCAAAAAAAAAAAAAAGATTTATTTTACTTTCTATGTATGAGTATTTTACCTGCATATATATGTGCACTACATGTGTGCCTGGTGCCCAGGGAAGTCAGAAGAGAGTGTTGGATAAACTAGAACTGGAGTTACAAATGTTTGTGAACCACCATAAGGGTTCTGGGAATTGAACCCAGGTCCTTTGCTAGAGCTACAAATGCTCTTAATTTTAACCTCTGAGCCATCTCTCCAGCCCCTACTCTCTTCCTTTTATAAAAAAAGGCCAGGAAAACAAAAGCAAAGTCAGGATTAAAACTCAAGTTTCAAGCCAGGTGGTGGTGGTGCACACCTTTAATCCCAGCAGAGCCAGGAGCATCTCTATTAGTTCAAGGCCAGCCTGGTCTACAGAGTGAGATCCAGGACAGGCACCAAAACTACACAGAGAAAACCAAAAAAACCAAACCAAAAAACCAAAAAAGAAAACAAAACAAAAATCAAAAACAAACAAAAAACCCCTCAAGTTTCAAGAGTTCTGGCTTTGTGTTACTTCTCAACCTTAAAAAAAAAAAAAAAAAAAAATCCCAGAAGGACAACATTCTCATTTTTGTGCATTATCTCTGAAACTAATATCCACTTCAATTAACTTCAAATTTCCTGCCCATACTAGAAAATTAATCTGAAAACATAAAAATGTGGAAATGAACCAATTTCCTCAAAATTAAAATTGGTACCAGTATATCTTATGAAATGGCAAGTTAGTCAGCCCCTAATAAAAGCAATCTGGCATTTACTCAAAATCACACATACATTTACCCTTGATTCAGAAGAAATCCCATAAAATTTACAGAAACAAAATGGCCTATGAACAAATCTATTCTTACATCACATTTGCAAGAACAAAATAACAAAAAAAACAGAACAACCCAAGAATTCTTCCACAACAGGGCAGGGGCATACAGGTTATGGTGCATCCACACCAGACTACCTGACACATGGAAGACTGGATGAAGAGAAATACACTGCCAGGCTCAAGATGGGAAGTCTGGAGGGCTGGAGAGACGAGTCAGCAGTTAAGAGCACTGGGTTCCTGGGTTCAATTCCCAGCAACCATGGTGGCTCACAACTGTCTGTAACTCCAGTGCTACCTTTTATGGTCTCTGTGGACACCAGGCATGCATGTGGTACACAGATACACATTGGGCAAAACACCCATATACATCAAATAAAACCTAAAAAGTAAATTGTCGAAATGCATGATCTGGAACAAAGTATGCTTTCTGTGTGAGTAAGGTGGAAAATTCAGAACCTACATTACTTGCTTGTTATTCCATAGAGTCTGAAAACCAGGAAAAGCTGGCTGACACTGTCTCAGGCTTCACCCCTATACACACTGTACTCTAGACTCTGCAAACATTCTTTTTGCTTTGCTCTGCCTCTCTCATTCTCTCTTCCTTCCTCCCTCTCTAAAACAAGGTCTCAGTACAGCTCCTGTGACTGCAGGTATGTACACAGATCCCACCCTACGCCTGCCACTCTGAAGGATGTCCAAATCAAGAAATCTTGGGGCTGGAGAGATGGCTCGGCAGTTCAGAGCTTGTACTGCTCTTGTAGAGGACCTGGGCATGATTCTCAGCATGTAAGGTGATTCACAACCACATGTAACTCCAGGGATTCCAACAGGTCTGGCTTCTGAGGCCATCTGCACTCATGTGCACATATCCCCAGATGCACAGCATACATATAATTAATTTTAAAAACTAAGACACACACATACACACACACACACCCCTTTCCTAGCAATGAAGACACCAAAGAAACAACCCAAAGTCAGTCAGTGTTAACTGCAGTGAAGAGGGGTGAAGAGGGAGTGGAGGTTTCCCTGTACAGCACTCCTTCCTATGTGTTTTACTTTGTGAATTATGTAACTACTACCTAAAAATTCTAACTGCAAGCAGTAGTCACAAAATGTTTAACCTCTGAGCTAGTTTTCAAACTCTCTTTATGCAAGTTGTGGCATCAGTTTATAATTTCAAGTTGAGACAGGTGTGTTGGCGCACGCCTTTAATCCCAGCATTTGGGAGGGAGAGGCAGGTGGATCAGTTCAAGACCAGCCTCATCTACATAATGAGTTCCAGGATAGCCAGAGCTACACAGAGAAACCTTGTCTCAAAAAAACAAAATGATGATGATAATAATAATAACAACAACAACCAAAGGATAATAACCATAGCAACAACAATAATAATACTAATAATTTCAAGTTTGAAAAAAAAAATAGGAGAAAGAATTACAGCAAAGTGCAAAATCCTGTAGTGCTAGAAATAGGTTAGGAGCACATGTCTAGACTAGCAAGGACAGCGGGTGTATGTTTCCACTGTTTCCCAATCTCCTTCCTCTTTTTAGAAAGTCTCATTCCTTTAAAAATGTCCAGTTTAAGCCTCAAAAGTCATCCTGGAAACAGAGCTCAGGGGTAGAGCACTTGCCTAGCACAGGTAAGACCTGAGTCTGACCATCTACTGTAAAACAAAAGCCATGGGGTGTTAGACCAGGCTGGACTCCAACTCAGATCCACCTGCCTCTGCCTCCTGAGTGCTGGGATTAAAGGTGTGTGCCATCACTGCCAGACAGGGGCTGACTCTCTTAAGACATCTTTGTTTCCAAGGTCAATCCTGCTTGAATGTGCTTGGCAGGTGTGTGAGTGCAGTCCGGATTTTACTGCCCCCTCATCCATCAGGCAGCACACTGCCCTAATGCAGACATCTATTACAGGTACAGCATATTGAAAGTACATTTCCCACCTGCCTTTGAAACATCTTTTTTTTTTTTTTTTAAATAATAACTGCTAAGAAAAAAACAACTTTTTCAAGTGTGGGCTTGCTATATGGTAAAATCAGTGACACGGATTTCAGAAGGGAGGTGTCTTGGTGTACTGGCATGAGTAAATGAGCTGTATGTAATCATTTTAGTGTGAGGAAATTCTCCTGCCCCGGGGTCCCCTGGACTTAACTCTGCAGGCCAGCCTTTTCTGTTGTAAAAGACTGCAAAGCCTTGGTATTGAAGAATGTTTCTTTCTATTTTTAATAATTTATTTATTTTATGTGCATTGGTGTTTTGCCTGCACATATGTCTGTATGGGTGTATCAGATCCCCTGGAACTGGAGTTACAGACAGTTGTGAGCTGTCATGTGGGTGCTGGGAACTGAACTCAGAACCTCTGGAAGAACAGCCAGTGCTCTTAACTGCTGAGCCATCTCTCTAGCCCAGAAGAATATGTTTCTTAAGTAGTCATAAGTCAGTTTATAATAGAAACTGTTCCTGTACACTTAATATTCAGGCTTTTCTGACTGCACATCTGATAACTCCCACTGTGGAATTTTCTACAGGTGACTGACTCTCTTTTTCCGTTAACAATACTGGAGGGAGGACACACCCAGTGGCCGAGCACTAGACTAGCTGCTTGCACAAAGCTCTAGGTTCAGCCCCTAGCACAGAAAGAGAAGTGGGGGAGGGATCCAATATTTAAGTCAGGTGCAGTGGTGTATACTTATAATGCACAAACTTTAGAGGTGGAGGCAAGAGGATGAGTTCATGCCTAGGCTCTAGAGTAAGTTTGAAGCCAGCACGGGTTATCTATAACCCTGTCACAAAACAAGCAAGCAGAAGACAGTGGTTATGCAAACAGAGTATTCTTATCTTGGTGCAGTATGTACTGGAGAATGTCTGCGTCCCAACGTTAGAAGACCAGGAGTGTGATCAGTACTTACCCTGAAGTCGGAGTCTGGCGGTATCCAAGGGAAAGAACACTGTCATGGCAGTCACACTTCCCTGCAGAGTTGAAAAAGGACTTTAGCCATTACACTAACTTACACACGGGCCACAACTTAAAAAAAAAAAAAAAAAAAAATGTGGCTTTTAAATTTTTTCATTTATTTTACATGTATAGGTGTTTTATTTGCATGTAGGTCTGTGCATTACTTGCATGCATGGTGCACAGTGGAGGCTAGAAGAAAATGTCAGGTTCCCCAGGTCTGGAGTTCAGATGATTATGAGGTGCCATGTGGCTGATGGGAATTGAACTCAAGTCCTCTGCAACAGTAGCCAGTGTTCTTAACCACTAAGCCATCTCTCTAGCCTCAGACTGCACCTTTTAAATGATCCAAAACTCATTAGTACAGTTAAATTCTTACCAAATAAACACAGTACTTTAATCTATTGGGATTATGAATAATCAGACTTCTATTATTAGATAGTTAAAAAGGAGAATTTAATTTTCCAGAAGAAATTTCTTCTGTTTCTCTGATATTGAAAAAGAAACAAAACTAGAGCACATTTGAAGACAACAGATAAACAGAATTTTGGTTTTTTTCCCTCAGGTCAGTTGCTACTATAAGCCCTCTGATACTGTCCAAAATCAAAATAGTCAATAATTTAAAAATATATTCTAAGCCAGGCATAGTGGCACACATCTTTAATTCCAAAATTCAGAAGGTAGAGACAGGTAGATCTCTACGAGTTCAAGACCAGCATGGTTTACACAGCAAGTTCCAGAACAGCCAAGGCTACATGGCAAGACCCTGTCCTAAAGACTAATGAGTGTGTGTGTGTGTGTGTGTGTGTGTGTGTGTGTGTATGTATTTATGCATGCATGTGGAGAACAAAGGTTGAAGTAGGGTTTCTTCCTAGTGGCTGTCCTAACTCCTACTACCTGTAAAAATGTCACATTTATGTAGTTTATTAATCAGCTGACCTTAAAACAGCTGATTCTATTCCCAGCGCTAAAAAAAAAAGCAAAACAGAAGAGTAAGTGGGAGCAAGCAACACAGGGTGAGAAGAAGGACTGGTACTGCTAACTTCAGTCAAGGATTGTGGGCAGCTTCTGGTAAGTGGTCAAAGTCAGGAACTTGTTTTTACCCTCGAGTCTTCAAAAAGGAACACAGCTCTTCTAATGTCTTGATTGATCTCAGTAAACCTGCACTAGCCTAACTCACAGATGATAAACAGGTGTGGTTTTAAGCCCCTAAGCATGGTACCATTTGTTACAGCAGCAACAGAGAACAGATACAACAGGATGGTGGGGACAAATCCTGGGATGTAGGTGGACTTTTCTGTTCGCCATCCAGTTCCCAAATAACCACGTAGAGACTTAATTATAAATGCTCAGCTGATAGCTCAGGCTGGTTGCTAGCTAACTCTTAAATTTTAAATTAACCCATATTTCATATCTTCCATGTGATTTTCCTCTCAGTAGTGTGTGTCAATTGCTCATTCCTTCTCATGGATGAGTAAGTTCTATCATGTGTATGTACACTACACTCATGTTTCAGTGATCTTATCTACCACATGAAACCCATATTTCTGCCACATGGCGGTACCTTCTTTCAACATGGCACGTTCACCTTGCTTCTCTTTGTGTCTGCTTGTGACTCCTCAGACTTTGTCCTTCTTCCCAGCATTCTCTCTGCCCCAAAAATCCTGCCTAGCTATCAGCCAATCAGCTTTTTATAAACAATGAGAGCAACACATTTTCATAGTGTTCAGCAAGATTATTCCACAGCACTGGGAAGTAGAGGGAGCCCTGGGGTGCCTTTCAGGTTGACGAGTTGAACATCATAACAACAGCAACCAGGGAATACCAGTCCCAGGTAATACCTGAATATGGGCTTCTAGACTTCCCTAAGGTAACTTGGGATATGGAAGTGGCACAGAAAGTTAGCCTGCCAGAGTCCCAGCCTTACTTGTCATAATCCCTGTGGGCCAGCAGCAGTAAATGAATAGGAACCCAAAGCTCACATGTTGAAATTTACCCATCCATGAGGAATGAGCAGTTGACACACTCCTGAGTGTGGGAAAAGAAATGGGTGTGGGTTACATGATTCTTCTTATAGGAATTACACAGAATGTGTATGTCAGTAGACGGAAAACATATTTGTGGCGGCCAGAGGCTGAGTAGAGGGTATGTGTATGTGTTTGTGTGCACGCGCGCGCACGCGCGCGCGTGCACACACACACACACAAACACACACACACATTCCCTCTATCCTTTGGGGTTTTTTTTTGGGGGGGTGTTGTTTGTTTGTTTGTTTTGAGACAGGGTTTCTCTATGTAGTTTTGTTGCCCTGGATCTTGCTTTGTAGACCAGGCTGGCCTCGAACTCACAGAGATCTGCCAGCCTCTGCCAGCCTCTGCCTTGCAAGTGCTGGGATTAAAGGTATGTGCCACCACCGCCCGGCTACCCCCTATTCTTTGTTAGAAACATGAATGTGAGGCTTGAAACTTGAGATGTGGGTTTCTAATTATAGCAATACAGTGTCTTAGACAATGTGCTGCCCAATACCTAGAAATGTTGAATAAAATATAACAAACACCCTTCTCCTGCTTATCTCAATAGTCTAGAAAGTTAAAAAACAACCCTGGAGAGCTACAGATTAGACAGCCACAGGGTTAAGCAGGTTCTTCTACTTTAAGTCTTCAGGAACTTTTTTATTTTGCTTTGTTTTGTTTTTGAGATAGGATTTTTCTGTGTAGTCCTGCCTGTCCTGGAACTCTCAGTAGAGTAGGCTGGCCTTGAACTTAGGGATCCACCTGCCTCTGCCACCTCCCGAGTGCAGGAATTAAACCATCACCAGTTATTGTTTTGCTTTTGAATTGAGGTAAAATTCATATAGTATAAAACTAGCCATTCTGGAATATATATTCAGGCCTGAGGCTGTAGCTCAGCTGGCAGTGTGCCTGCCTGAAAGGCACAAAACCCTGGACTTGACTTGTCAGTTCCACATAACCTGGGCATGGTGCACGGTTATGCTCAGTACTTGGCAGAGGCAGGAGAGAAGTTCAAGATCATCTTTAACCATTTAGGAAGCTCAAAGCCAGCCTAGAACATGAGACTATATTTCAAAACAAAAGTAAAACTAAAGAATACAATTCATAAGCAAGTACTCTCCATTTCCCCCTCTACTCAGTCTCTGGCTGCCACAAATATGTTTTCCGTCTACTGACACACACATTCTGTGTAATTCCTATAAGAAGAATCATGTAACCCAAACTCATTTCTTTTCCCACACTCAGGAGTGTCAACTGCTCATTCCTCATGGATGGGTAAATTTCATCATGTGTATGTACACTACACTCATGTTTCAGCATAAGACAGAGGCAGTGGCTGGGCGTGGTAGTGCATGCCTTTAAATTACAGCACTCAAGAGGCAGAAGCAGGCAGAGAGCTCTGTGAGTTCGAGGCCAGCCTGGTCTACAGAGAGGGTTCCAAGATAGCCAGGGCTACACCAAAAAAAAAAAAAAAGACAGAAGCAGTAATGGTACAACATTCTCAATGTACTAAATAACACTGAAGCGCACGTTTTAAAATTAACATTGTTATGTGCACTACACCTCAATTACAAAATTAGTCCCGTCAGCCTGACATAATAGGAACTGCCATCCTGTCCATTTTACAGATAGGAAACCAGCTAGAGAGGGTTAGCAGTTTCCCTACCTAGCAAGATCAGAACTCAAATCTGGCAGCCTCTTCAAAGTTCACACTTAACCACTACTGCATCTAAATTTGGGACACAGGTATTTTACACACTGGGGACCTGCCGTACTTGTTTCTTCATCAAGCAAACACAGAGGGCTGTTTTTCACATGCACTGTTAACCTGCAACAAAATATTTATTTTATATGCACGCCTTAGACCGAGTTACGCAAACACATGGTTTCCAGAATCTGAATTAAATTCCTCTAAATACGTTCATCTTTTCCTGAGAACAATTTGTTCACTTGCACAAAACGAGAAGACGCAGAGAGAGCAGCCCTGATGCGCCATGCTGCTGTGCCAGACAGACATAAAATAAACCTACCGAGCCCACAGGATTCTAGCTATCTGAGTGGGAGTGCTACTGCAGACAATAATTACAATTTACAAGAATCTATTTCTAGAGAAATCTATTTCAGAGACCGCATTCTTCCGCCCAAACCGTTTTGAATTACAACATTCTGCGTTGGGGGAACAGTAAATTCCTATACTGCATTGGCACTTGAAGCCTGGAGGCCCCTTCACGGAGGGCGAGGAGCCTGGGGCCAGCAGCCAGGGTCAGCCCAAAGGCAGAGCGGCAGAAGCAGGATGGAAGCACTCTTGCTCCTCAAGCCCTGTTCACAGTCAAAGAGCACACTCCTGGCCAAACACACAGACAACTTCCCTTTATTTTTTTAAAGCATTTCATTTATTTATTGTGTGTGGCACATGCATGGAGGTCAGAGGACAACTAATTTGAGGGAGCTGGTTTTTCCTTACACTAGAATGGAACACAGGTCATCAGGCAGACATTAAGTGCTTTTCCCCACTCTGCCATTCCGTCAGCCCTTTTTTTCCTTTTCTATTTGTCAGTCTGTGAGTATATGCAACATGTGTGTGGGTGCCCACCAAGCCCCCAGGGCTGGAGCTGTAGGTGGTTGTGAGCTGCTCAGTGTGGGTTCTGGGAACCAAACTCTGGTCCTCTGGAAGAGCAGCAAACGTTCTTAACCACTGAGCCATCTCCCCAGCCTCACACATATGACTTACTTTCATTTGTTTATTTTTTTAGACAAGGTCTCATTATGTAGCTCTTGGCTGGTCTGGAATTCTCTATGTAGACCAGGCTAGCCTTGAACTCAGTGATTTTGATCTGCCAGTCTGTGCCTCCTGAATGCCGGGATCACAGGTGTGTGACACTGCACCCAGCTCTTTCTTTTTTCGGGGTTAGTCTTTTGGGTTTGTTTGTTTTTGTTTTGATCCACCTGCCCTGCTTCTGCTCCACAGTGCTGGGATTTAGCTGTGACTAGAAATGGGGACGGGA